TTACAAACACATGGACAAAGAAAACAGTTCAGTGGTTACCAGGGGAAGGGGGGTGAGGGTGGGCACAGGGGGTCAAGGGGAGCACTTGTATGGTGACAGACAAGAAATAACACACAACTGAAATTTCACAATGATGTAAACTATTATGAATCTCAATAAATAAATAAATAAATAAAATGAGTTTTATAAAATCAATATTTTATGTCATTAAGATTTCCTTTTCTTTCAGTTACTATACCATGAATAAGATGCTTGGCTTGCCCTTGAGTAACTTCACAACCAGGTGAGAGTTTTTGAAATAGACGCTCTGCAACTAGAAGAATGTTACAATTTAAGAATGTACAAAGTATCAAGTGACCCCAAATAAATGAAAGACCAACATTATTCTGGAAATTAGAGAAAGATCAGACAATCTTATTTTTTGGTTGTAGTTTCCCTAATTCTAGATACATTATTGGTTCTTAAAAAGCACAACATTTGGTTTTTAAAAAGTCCTATATTGGGGCTGGCCCTGTGGCGTAGTGGTTAAGTTCGGCACGCTTTGCTTCAGCGGCCGGGGTTCATGGGTTCAGATCCCACGCAGGGACCTACACCACTCATCAGCCATGCTGTGTCAGCGAACTACATAGAAAGTAGAGGAAGAATGGCACAGATGTTAGCTCAGAGCTAATCTTCCTCAACAACAATAAAAAGTCTTATATCTAGAGATTTTATGAATATAAATTAACATACATTAATTACAAGTTAATAATAATTAACGTAAATAAGCAGGTCATAACCAGAATCTAATGAGCTTATTTCAGAGACACAATACCTCTAAATTTATTTATTATCAGCATAGTTCCACAGAAATTAGGAAATAGACATTGTCTCATGCCACAAAGATAATCCTCCACCCTGGGCTCCACTGCCCCTAAAGGCTCCTTCTTGGACTTCCAGACCTTTATTACCTTATTGGACCATATGAATAGTGTTCATTCCCAGTGATAACTCTCCCATACTTTTCATCTCTGGGTGGTGTTGTAGTTATGTGTGTGTGTTTGTGTGCATGTAGGCGTGCATGAACTTGTGTGTTACCAACATGAACAATATGAGTTGCTATGTGTGATATTCAACAGGCATGCAAAAAAACATTAGGAGGAAAGCACCCCAAGCCAAGCAAACAGCATAAACAGAGGCAAAAAGCAGAACATCTTTGGATTAACATGTTGCTGGGGAGTCCAGTTCGGCTACAATGTAGGATCTAGGGAGTGGGACATAGACTGGAAACCTAGTTTTCACCAGATTCTAGAGAGCTTTGAAGGCTGGGCTTAAGGAGTTTATACTTGAACCTTTAGGTTCTGTGGTATAGACAATGGAGAGCCATTGCCACAGAGAAATCTTCCATGAGGAGGCAGAGGCCCAGAGCTAAAGGGCCAGATGATGCAGGCATTCGGCAGGAAAATCTGACGAGTGCCTGGGTTCTGGATTTTCATTTACACAAAGGAGGAGAATATTTGTATTCAAGAGTTTGTCTCACGGCTCTGGTAGGCAGCTCAACAAACATAAACAAACACAAACCAGTGTTAATGGGTGATGATAGGCTGACATTTTACTCTGATGCTGTATTAATACGTATCTAACATAGCCCGGCTGGAGACAAACTGACATTTACCGAAGACATGATGGCTAAGATGCACTTTTCTAGAATTCTGATAGTTTAATAAAGTGATCCACTGGGGCAGAGAGGTCTCATATCAAAGTACTGTAGATTATATTAACTTACTCAGCAAAAGCACAGGACTCGTATATTTCAAATTCCTTGGTATAAACCTATTATTCACAGAGATTAGATCCCATTTTTTGAAGATGCTTTCTGAGCATCCTACTCTAAGAAAACTGGGTCCCAACACTCAAAAGACCTCCAAATATTTCCTTCTCTTCACTGCTGTGATGTTAAACTAACACCTTTTGCTAAATGCTCACGTTTTAATAGACCGGCAGCCAGCACAGCAACTGGTCTTAGACGGTAAGACTCCCTGACTTCTGTAAAATAATGCCATTTTCTGTAAGATTTAACAAGTTTGCTGATGTTCAAGTTTGATGAGAAGTTTTCATGCGTGCAGTTCTGGAGGCTAATAGCAGATAATGAAGAGCTCTCCTGTCATGTCTCTGGAAGACCTGAAGGCTACAAAGGAACATTACCAGACCTTCAAGGGTAAACAGTGGGAATGGAAAGTAGCAAATGCTTTTAGTTGCTTTTCTGATGCTCCCAGCACTAGTGAAATCAATCTTCAAAATGAGAGGGAAACCTGATGGCCAGCTCCTTTGATAGCGTCTATTTGTGCCCCTAGCGCTGCATGCTTTTATTTATAAGACATTACAAACCCCTAGGATAAAACAGTTTACTTTTCAGTTCTAGACATGATTCAGAGCTATAAATTGTTTATTAGTAATAATCAAATATCTCATTATTTAAATTGTAGGAACAGCAGTAAAATGATTTTTTTATAGGCCTGAGTATTTTGAAGTCTATAAGACATTCATTCATTCTTGCTGAGAAACATCCTATAGAGCTGATCTTATGTTCATTTATTATTCATTGTAATTTGCGGTTTGCTAAATCGCTGTGAAACCTATTTACAGTTTTACACACCCTCTTAAAAGATGGTCACATAAAATGTTTTTTGTTGTTTTTATTTTCTAAATTGTGATGCTTGGCTTTATTTATAGGTAGATGACTACAAAGATATAATGCATATAATGTATTAAAAAACAGATACACAGAAGGTTCAATTAAGAACATACTTCAAGTTTTCATGAAATCTTAGTGGGACAATAAAACACAATCTATACATTTCATCTGCAATACATGTAATCCAAATAAGGATGATTAAAATTTTCCATAACAATTTCAATTTTTTCATTCTGTGATCGCCTATTTAGCAGGATCCTAAAAGGGAGCAGGAGCGTTTACCATCAATAGTATACTGAGATTCTGATGAGTAAGTGACATTAAGAAAAGAACATTTACTGTTTTCTCTTCTTGCTCTCTTAGCTTCATTCTTGTTTTCCTCTCACTTTTTAAAATAAAAACATGCCAATTATTAGGAAGAATGAAATTCAATATAATTTGGGGCATTTTAATTCTCAACTTTTATAAACTTAGCCTTGTTAGAGCTTATAAAATATTCCAGAACTTCTTGTATACTTGATATCACAACTTTGAAGGTTTGCTCATTTCCTGGCTGTGGGTATTTCTAATCAGAGAATCATTATGCTTCCTCTTTTTCTTTTAGATATTCCCATAGGAGAAACATTAAAATCCCTAAAAGAGTTTTTTGGAAAATTCAAGATGCACATTCTGATTTTACTTTTTGCGTGAAATATTATTTCTGTTCTCATTGTCTGCCATCAGAGAATAGCTAGTACAATTGCCAATATTCAAAATTTACTGCATTTAAGAAAAATTTTGGTTAAGCTGATACTTAGCCATTAAATTTACCTTTCACTCTGTTATTAAAATTTGCTCATGGGATTATGTTCTATCTCAGATGAATATTAAGGTATTAATACTACAGTTATGAATCATTCTATTATTTTTCCATTTTAAATAAATTGTGTCTATTTACATTTGCACTATATTATGTGACATTTCAAAGGGCATAAATGTTAAATCTTCATTATCATTATAGAACAACCAAGTTTATCTCACTTTTAACTTTTGCCAACAATTTTAATTTGATTTAATAGTGTTACACATTTACTTTTGGAGCAGTTAAACACTTTATAAATAAAAGTTATTCTACACTTCACAGTGCTGTGTGGAGCCACGCTGGAACATGAGGCATAAGAAAACATGTGAACTCTGGGTTTAATGAAAAGAAACTCATCAATCACTTTTTTCCCAAATCTACTTCTTTGCTTATCTCATTCTGAAGTGAGAAAATTGCTGTGTTTGACAATTTCTCTTGACTAAGAGACAATCTAAAATAATTTTAATTAGCTTCAGCTGAATTAAAATTATAATGAATCGTTTTGTGCCAAATATTTAGCATAAATAACATCATTTAAACATTTTTTCATCAACTATAATGTTCTGAAAAAAATTACCCATTAAAAAATACATAAAAACATGTCTTTAGGGATGCACATTTTTCTTTTTTGCCTGGCTGTCTGATGGCTTAGTATCGCAGTAGTTTTTATTTTAAAATTTTGACATTTTCTTCACAATTGGTTTTTCTTTGCATTAATTTTGATTTTTAAAAATAGTACATTAAAATGTCGCTATTTTGGTTACTGAGGTTTTTGGCACTCCCACTTAAATTTTGCACTGAGACAAATTCCTCACTTGCTTCGGCCAAATTCTGGCGCTGATATACAACAAAATCCCCAGTTGTGGAAAATGTGCACTAAAATACAGAGAATACTAAAAAAAAAAAAAAAAAAAACCCTGTATTTTGCTAATAAGCAAGAGGAAGTTTATAAATTTAAAATTATTTATTTTGGTTGTAATAAGCAGAAATGACTGTCTTGTGGGAATGCCATATGGTTTATGGCTTTAGTGATCTAAAGATAGACTCTTATAAGTAAGAAAAATGAAATATACATACACACACAGCTTATGGCCACATTTTGGGGGAGACATTCTTGAAACATTCTTCCCAGTAAAAAAAAGGAAGGAAAATATCTTGTTTCTGTCAATGGAAGGGGAAAACAGGATTCGTATTTTATTTTGAAGTTCAGAAGAGTCACTTACACTTGTAAATATCTTTTTTATTTCAACTTATAGAGCTTTGCTGCTTGAGAATATTTCTATCGTCTCCAAAGAATATTTTTGCAAACAAAGAAAACTAGAATGCCAGTAATATATATGCTCAACATTAATTCAGACATTCCTATTCCATAGATGGCCATAATGGCTCTCATACCTGCCAAGCCCTGTGCTCGTGGCCAGTGAAGCTGACTAGTACCCTCCTGTCGCTCAGGGCAGAGCTCCTCAACACTGCTGTGAGTTACCATTGTCTGGGGAATTTCTAAACAATACTGATACCTGGGCCTTACCCAAGGCCAATTACTGGACATTTCTAGCAAATGGAGCCCAGGCATCAGTATTGTCTAAAAGCTCCCGAGATATTTGAAAGTACGCACTGAATTGAAACGCACTGGCTTACAGTCTAATGGAGAGAACACAGGCACCGCATACAATCATTCACTCATACATTTACAATGAGACGATGCCGTGGGATAACAAAAGGATGCTGTTTTAGAAAAGAAGGACTGCCTACACAGGATGCACAGACAGACCTTTCTGAGAAGTAAAATTTAAATAGAGACTGAAATGATGAGGCAGCAGCCATAAAAGGGGCAAGAATAGGATATTTCATGTAGAGAGGAAAACATGAACCAACGTTCTGAATAGGAAAAGAAGGAGGGGAGTGCACAGGATTGCAAAGCAGCAAGGGGAGAGTGACAAGAGGTGAAGTAAGGTAGGTATGAAATAGGGGTAGTGGAGGAAGAAAGTGACCAGCAAATAATGGTCTGGGTCCCTGCCCTTCATCCAGTCCACTACTCTTCACTCGCCTTGCACTACCCCAGTTAATTCGCACAGCAACTCTTTGCGATTTGTAGTAAGGTAAGTAAAATCTAGCAGTTCAAGCTATAAAGAAGGATATATTAAAGATAGACTTCATTGGAATTCATGTAGATAGAATGTAAAGATAAATTTTTTTAACGATCCCTCTCCTCTATTTGTTCTCTCAAGTGCAAATAAACTTTTGTAGGCTTTTCTTCTTTTTAGAAATAAAATATGGATAAGAATTTCTATATAATATAGAGAAAACATGTATGATATGACAATGTACGCTCTGGCCATGATAAGGCTATGTCATAAAAGATTAAGCTACAGAGTCTGAGCCGAGAAATTCTTTACTTGACAAACTATCTGCCCAGCAATTATGATCAAATTGTTTAAAGCTGCTAAAATGATAACTATTATGTCAGGTCAAAGCACTTCCTGGTTCAACAACTGCCTTCGATATCACAGTGTGCAGTAAAATGCTTTTTTCTTAACTGTCATTTTTCCTAATTTGATTGAAATAAAGAAGTAACTTTTACTGGAACAGGGTTATGACTTTGAACAACTGACAGTGCAGAGAGTAGATGTGACTTCTGTGACCTTGGCCTTGTCATATCCTATTGAGAAAAGGTTTTGAGGAGTTTTTTGAAAGATAGAGTCCACACTTTTCTTTTTTTGGTCAATTGAAAATAAAATCATGGTTTTTTTTTTTTTTCTCTTTTATCAAACCAAGTAAATGATGTTATCCTCTTAAGAGCCATAGGTTAATGTCATGGGCCATTTTAGTCCTGCTTCTATGGTTACATTACTTTAGAAAATGGAAATGTCATTCCCAGGTGCCATTCTCCTTCAGGCAAGAAGGTTAACCCACAATTTCGAAAAATATAAGAGGTCAAACCTTTAGAAATCAATAGTAAATGGAGTGAAGATAACTTTTTATGTATGGAACCTACTCCAATTAAGAAAGCTCTCACCCATTTGGAAAGAATAAGGAAAAAAGGTTAGCATTGCACAAAGAACACTGAGCCTTTCTGCCAAGCTGGGCTCCAGAGATTTTTATCTGCCTGCATTAAATTCAAAGCTTTGGCTCTTACTAAAATGCTGGAAGTTATAAATTTCATTTTATTTCAAGGAGAATATTATGAGACTTGTTTAGCTTCTAGCAAATAAAGAATTCATATCAAATACCAAATATGACCCTAAATAGTCGATATTACCATATATTCTTCTTAGAATGAAGAAAACAAACAATATTACACATTCTCTTGAAATTCTTGGAGATCAAAGTATTTGTTAGCTATTGTTTGTCTATTATAATAGACTTCTATATATCTTTCTACCTGACTTTTCAGGGTCCAAAAAGTAGCCAAACTTGGTGAGTATACAAGAAGCAGAGCATGCATTTACCTTGGTTCAGAGAGTATAAGGTGGCCATATATTTTGAAAGTATTTACTTCTTCGTAAATAAAGTTTATACGGCAGATTGATATTATATGGAAAGCACAAATACAGCAGAATGAAGGTGTGAGGTAAGTCCTCAATTTGACAAAGACAGTTCAGTTCTCTCTCTTTTTCTCAAACTATATTTCCTGCAATCTAGGCCTGACTGGTGGCTGAATTTATTCTACTGGCTGTCTGGTATTTTAGCTCCTATCATGAAATCTGTGCTGGGGCTGGTGTTTGTGCTTTCTCTTCAGCTCTATTATTTAAAGAAGTGGTCCCAGTATTTCGGAAGATGGAAGTTTGAGAGAAACTAGTTTCACCGAAGACTCTTGCTTCATGGCAGGTATGCTGATCCACTCTGAGAGGCCTTTCGGGGAAGATTAGCACCCTGAAGGCAAATTTATGCCACTCTCAAAACAACTCATGCTTTCTCAAGATCCTTGGAGAAAACAAGTCAACAATTTCCCTACAAGAATCCTTTTTTTTATATATATATAGACTAAAACTAAACACATGCTGACACTCCTAACCTCCCTGCTTAGCTGAAATATTCCTGTTTGAAATGTTTACTGAGTTGAATACGATGATGTTCATATAGTGGGATACTTAGATGACGCTTCTTTTATCAATCTTTAGTTTTCTTTGAAGTTCTTAGTGTTATTTTCTAAATAAAGTGCTACCTAAAGTAGATAGGTATCCGTGATAAATTTCAGTCAAATATTGAAACCATAAAGTCATAGAATTTTTAAGTAATTCCTCACATTTTTTTAAAAAAGAAGGGTGACATTTTCATCATATTTTTGAAAGAAATACAGGAAACAACACGATTTACACGTGAATGAAAACGTTCATAACGTGTTAAGTTTTCACAGCCTTTAAAGTTTGGGGTGCATGTAATTCCAAATGAAAAAAACAATTCACATTCATACATTTATTCAAACTTTTTTTTTTTGAGGAAGATTAGCCCTGAGCTAACTGCTGCCGATCCTCCTCCTTTTGCTAAGGAAGACTGGCCCTGAGCTAACATCCATGCCCATCTTCCTCTACTTTATATGTGGGACGCCTACCACAGCATGGCTTGCCAAGCGGTGCCACGTCTACACTCGGGATCTGAACCAGCAAACCCCAGGCTGCTGAAGTGGAATGTGAGCAGTTAACCACTGCACCACTGGGCTGGCCCCAACATTTATTTCTTGAAGCTGGTAGGTCCAGCATTAGGGTAGGCACTAAGGATACAATGAACAAAGAGAATAAGTCTTGGCCCTCAAGGAACTCACGGTCGAATAGAGAGACATTAATCAAATGTTCATAGTAAAATGCACGGCAAATTGCAATTGTGATAAATACTACCAAAGAGAGGTACACGGCACTGTAAGAGAGTACACTATAGGTATTTAACCTGGTCCAGGAGGTCAGGGGAGGTTTCCTGACAGAATGACAGGGTAAGTTAACATAAAGGCGTATTTTTAAAAATGCTTATTTTTTAACAAGTTCTATAATACATAAGACTTACAACTAATTAAGGCATCTCTTCTCTCATGACAGTTAAATAAGTATTTTTGTAGTAATTTATTTCATAAAACTCAGAAGAACAATTTCACTTATTCTTCCCAATATCTCAATAATTAGGTTTATAAGAGTACTCACAGAAGTTTTCCATTTGAGATTTTAAAATATGCAGGTATATAAAAGCATAAATGAATGTAGCTAAAGAGTTTTGCCACTCTTCATTAGCTACGTGCTTCGTCACTTATTGTTTCCCATGATCTCATTTTGCTGCACCTCTAGGCTATCTTTCTAAGCCTGACTCCAGTTGATTAGCGACTTCATTTTAGACTTCTTAAAGCTTCACCCCTGGTATGTCATTTACAATAATTGCTGTTTGCCTCCATACGTTTCAAGCAAGGGCAAAAAGTGGACCAACTCCATGCTCTTCCCAGGTCACCAGAAAGCACCGTTGGGCTAGCATCCACTGGAGAACAGCACTCAGATATAGTACTCTACATTTTTATGCTTGTTCCATGTCAGCCGCTAAAATTCAAGCTCTGTTCTATCTCCACTGTGGAGTTTTCTAGTTAAATTAAATACTGAGTATTCAAACATAGGGTAGAATACCAACGAACGGGCTTAAATGACAGATGCTGCCTTGCAGAAAGTACAGCTGACTGTGATAACCACCAATTAAAATAAGTGGTGACGCTTTCTTAGGTTTGAGCTATTGTTCCTCACTTTGCTCACAAGGTTTGTTAAAGACCATCCATAGCAATCAGAAAAGAGACAAATGGGTTTCTATTTGATCAATGTTACTCTAAACATAGCCACAACATTTGAATTGAAATACGCAATATGCTTCCTATTCCAATTTTTTAACCTAAATGTATTAACCTTTTATACCACATTTCTTAGAAATAAATTCATTTATTTACCTATCAAAAGAGTGGGAGTTCAAAGTCTAATTCTGGAGGACTATTCCACAAAAATTTTAGCGTAACTGCTACATATTGCAATGATGTGATGAGTTCTAGAATATAAACCTAATGTAAAGTATGGAATACATATTTTTTTACATAACACCTACTCTTTCCAAGAGGCAACCACTCTTAACAATGGTGTGTAACTTTTAAATTTATTTATTTGTATGTGAACACATATACACTTATTAATGAGCTCATACTACATTTAGTTAATGCTCACTGGCCATATTTCATGACAGCACACTAGACTCATTTTTTTAAAAACAGATTTTGCCAACAGTTGTACAACTCTGTGAGTATAATAAAAGCATTGAATTGTATACTTTATTTATTTATTTATTGGCCCCCTTAACCCATTTCTCCTATTCTCCACCCCCTGCCTCTGGCAACCACCAATCTGTTCTCTGTGTCTACAGGCTTAGTTTAGTTTAGTTTAGTTTAGTTTTAGATTCCACATATAAGAGAGATCGTATGGTATTTGTCTTTCTCTGTCTGACTTATTTCACTTAGCATAACATCCTCAAGGTCCATCCATGTTCTCGCAAATGGCAAGATTTCATTCTTTCTATGGCTGAATGGTATTGCATTATATATACATATATATATCACAGTTTCTTTAGGTTGTTTCCATATCTTGGCCATTGTAAGTAGTGCTTCAATAAACCTA